GCTATAAATTTGGATAACAAATATATCGGAAAATTGAAAGGAAGGCTATAGAACTAGAAAAAATTGAAGATATAATAATGCCAGTATAATTGATTAGAACTTACATCTAATGATAGTAAGTTCATGGAACTTTGGGGTTCTTTTTTTCTATTATTATTAATATTTTGTTAGTATAGCCTTTATCATTATTATTTTATGTATATACCTCTTTTCAATTCCATTTTGATAGCATTAACTGATTTTCTTTGCTTCGTGTAAATATTTTATTCAAGTATACTGAAATGGTAGTTGATTGTGTCTTGGTGGCTTATTTCATGCAAGCGCATATACACTCAAAATATCGCATATACGTGCTTACACAAATTTGTAGATCCCTGCGCCTTGAGCGTGTACGCTCAAATTCAAGCGTATACGACCAAAAAAGAGCGTATACGTTCAAGTTAAAGCGAATTCGCTCAAATTTGAGCGTAAACGTTCTAGAAAAATAAAATGTATATAAGTGTCTTGAATCCAATAAAGGGTAAAGTACGTGCTCACTTTCAAACAACCAATAAATAAATAAGTACATGTCTACTTTCAATCCCCAATAAATAATAAAAAGTGTGAATTTCCCTTGAGACTTTATCTTTTGAATTCGACTCGTAACTTTAATAACCCATTCGAGACTCAATTCGACGGACTGAATTGACTTGTAAATTCGATTTGGCTTATTAAGACTCGAATTCTGGTGCGTTCGTGGAATCAAACATTGCTATTCACATTAGTACTTGTGGGAATTATCGGTCACTGGACTCGGTTAATCCATCACGTGAATTGAAAATTATCACTAATATCACTTGATCATCGTCCGCTTTTACAGCATCACCTCAATAAAATATCACTAAATTATAATCACCGTCCTTAATATCACCGCTTTATACCTATTGGTATCAAAGTATTCGTTCGATAGCATCATATCGTTCAAATAGTCCTTTAACAGTTATAAATTACCCCTTTCGCTTACTCAAAGTTATCCTTATTTTCCGTATACCGTTGGAGTTAGATTGGCTTATTATCTATATTATATTATTAGCACTCCTAATCAACGGTTACATTATATAAGACATGCTACGTAGTATACTAGTAATTATAAAAAATTTTTTTATCGATTTAATTTTTTTGCATATATAATATTAACACAATATGTAAGTATTCTTTGTGGTTATGCTTGGTTCGTCACTATTTCCCGACCATGTTTTATTACATAATTTATGCAATATGTAGATCAAGATATTGAATTAACCCACTTTAGCAAGCTCCAAGAGATCTGACGGATGAAAGTTATGTATTACGGATCAATATATACGTACAGTACGTACGTATGTATGAACGTAACAAAAATCTCCATTTTGGTTTCGGGAATTCCGAAACCTTATTTCAAGGCAAAACCAATGCCTTTGATTAATGTTATTTATATATGGAGATAGGATAATAACGCGTGCAGTATTTATGTTGTAAGTGGAAACGGAATTTAAGTGGATTCGGAATTTATATATAAAACCCCGTTTGGAGTTGATTTTATCATATGTACACCCTAAACCTGACCCTAATTTAACTGGGAAATTCCAAATCCACTTAAATTCCATTCTCACAACATATAATATTTAACTTATTTGTGAGTGTATATATTGTACGTACGTATTTATCTTGCATGCATACACGCTCTTATTAGGTTATTACAGAAATAAGTGTTGTATAAACCAGTATGTAAGTAATGTATACAATTGTTTGGATAGATGCAAGTTAAGAAAATTTACGGAAGTATGTATGATTAGCAAAACCTATAAAATTTATCTTTATAAATGACTCCTTTTTAATAGTTAGGTTAGAGTGAGTGCTAATATTGCCCTTTTTTCATGTTAGGGTTAGTATATTCGTGTTAATTATGTACTCTCTTTTTATTGCGGCGACCTCGCATTTATATCGTACGTACGCACGCATACAATTTTTATCTATATTAGATATATGTATATTATTTCATTCTTTTCGCTCAATTAGCTTTCGGGATCAAATCTGGCATGGTGTCAAGGATAAACTCTTACTGATGACCACAACAGTAATACGTACTCAACAATAAATTATTTTTGTAACTAATAAAAGGAAATTCTTGTAAACATACAATAGCCAAATTTGGGAGTTGAAGATTATAATAAATAATAAGCAAATCATTTTTGGTATATCAATCTAAAAAAATTGATGTTTTTGTCGTACAAGAAAATTTATCATAAACATTTTTTTTTTTTTTGTACGAAATCTTTAGCATAAAATTGCTTTTCTGGTAGAAAAATTTATTAATTTTAACGATCACTAACGTTATTAAACAATAATTGTGAAGAATTGTAAAACTATTATTTGATCAATTAGGTTGATCTTTTATTAATATTTTAATACTTAATACGTATATGTTTTGATACTTGATATATTTATATATTTAATATCTTGATATCAGATATGATTAATACAGTTATAGTTTAGTGCTCTAATGTCTTCAATGCGCTAACGTATTAATATACATATTAGGGTATTTACTCTGAAAATGATATGGGGCCTTTGCTATTAAAATAACCCTCCGAAGCATTGTTACACGAGATTGTTATTAAGAAAACATAGTAAATCTATTTTTAAAAAAAAAAATTCATAACAAGACCCCATATAGTAATTGCAATTACGTATTATGTTCAATAAAGTCATTTCAAAACAAAAACTCATTTAATAATACCTTAACACTTTAACATATTTAGCATTTATAATACTGTACTTTTTTCACGAAAAGCTTAATATATAAAGGACCTTAATTTAATTAAAATAATTTAATATATATAATATAATTTGAAGTACAAGGAAGAAATTTACTCAATTTATTTATTTAAATATATACTATAGATATATACTGGATTAAATTCACTCAAAAAAAAAAGTATGAATACACGAACTTGCTAAAAATTACATTGCTATTATGCAAAAAAAAATTACATTATTATGTATGTCAATTATGAGAAAAAAAAATCGATGACTGTAAACATTTCCATAAATCAAATTTCATGAATTTCATCATGTTCTACATGAATCTAGTGATTTTTATTCAGTCTTTAACGTCGTTGAATTAATAAATTATTAATCACTCTGTTCACTAGTAGGTTCAGTTGCTTTGAATGATGTTAAATTTCCTTTTATTCCTAATACATTTGTTGCTACCCAGTTCAATAACCCTTTTGTTGGAGGTATGCCGTAAACTCCCAAATAAATGGCTCTAAGCATAAAATCCACTGAATTGGTAATCGGATGATAAGGTACAAATGAAGGTGTGATAAAGATGATAATATAAAAAATTGCATAACCTAATGTTAAGAAGCCTATAGTGATCATATACCAGGATCCTACTGCGGCATTCTTAGAATTAATAGAATATTTTTGTGCATTTGTATCATTTAAACTTCTAACTGAAGGAATGGAATCATATGAACTACTAGTAGTATTATCATTATCTTCTTTACAATTAATATCTGCATTCATTTCAACATCATATCTTGCTTTTAAACCGATATGATTAAAATGAACTGTTAAAATTGGTGTAAATGTATAAATGAATGAACACATTCCACATATCATCCAAAAAATTGCTTGAAATATTAAAATAACCAATTCCGGCTCTGATTTCATTTGCTTCAAGTTGAGAATAACGGTTACCCAATATATACCATTTAGGGTTAATAATGAAATAATACTAAATATTAATAATGGCTCCTTAAAACTTGTTTCTCGATAAAATCTTAATCCAGTAAGCAAAAGACATGTCCATATTATGGTTGCATAAATGGCTGAAATGGCTTCATATCCAATCCAATAATACATAAGTGGAAAATTTGGATATATAATTCGTGCCAAATTCGCTCCACTTATGGCGAGGTTGACTAAATTTGATACAATGCTAATGATTTAATAAAAATTTAATCAAAAATTAATTAGTTAAAAAAAAAAATTTATGAATAAAATAACTGATTTAAAAATAGTTAATTTACCATGAAAGTCGTAGGAAGGTAAACTTCGTGATGCTATAATATAAAAGAGGAAGGAGACATGCAATGTTGATAAGCAAACTTAGGCCTATAAAGCCTAAATTCAATATATCAGCCATACTATTCAATTGATCTTTTCAGATTTTTATGATAATCAAGGGGAACTAAATCGGTGATTAATGAAGGTAGGAAAAAAAAAAAAAGAAGGAACCATGAGAAGCAAATAATTTTACCTGATCCAAGTATCTAGGCTTTAAAAGGTCGAGAAATTCTTCGTTATCAGCAATTATGTACAACTTAGCTCATGTATTACATATATGCACAAAACTTTAAACCGTGAAACGACTAATTATCTATCAAGAAGAACCGGATTCTTTCGCTTGAAACTGACTTATCATCGAATTTATATGTGTGTAACGTTATTTGTGCACATGAATTAATATTTTAATAGTAATTGGACAATATGAGGTGAACGACAAACAAAGATAACGGTTAGTAAACAAAACAATCCGATATGGAATATCTGTTATTCAAGTTACTCATAATCATGTGCGAAATGATAAGGCACATTATCTTGTCATATCATATCAAACAGTTTATTATCATACCATGCAATATTATATTTGTTACGCATAAATTCTTAATTTAGGTTCACTTTAATTCAACTTAAGCTATATAGAAATTTTGAAGGAATTTCTAATTTTACGTACTGAAACTTTAATTATCCGAAAGTCACACTTATTATATCTAAATCATATTACTTAAAACATAAAAAAAAAAAATTTTTTTTTGGAAAATTATAATCAGTGCAACAGTTTTTATGAATGTCGTCATACTTCATAAATACTAAAATCTGCAGTGTTGAGAAAAAATTCTCCTTGAGAGATCAATTTTTTTTACGAATTACCGAGCTTTTTTTCAGTCATTTCCTAAAACGAAAAAATCATGGTTAATTTTACAACAAGAAGACCTCCTGTTGATCCTGCAACAAGGAGGGCTACCGACATTAATATATTCAATTTCACTAGACCTCATATGCGAGCTCTCCATTTCTCATGGTTTTGTTTCCTTACTGCTTTTACAGGCTGGTTCGCTGTTGCACCCTTATTACCTACTATTAAAGATGATTTAGATTTAACTGATGCACAAATTGGTGATTGTAATATAGCTTCTGTCTCTTCAACCATAATATTTCGTATATTGTCTGGTCCGTTATGCGAAAAATTCGGTGCGAGACGTGTCATGTCTGCTATACTTATCATAGGTGCTATACCTACTGCTCTTGTCGGCTTATCACAAGGTCCTGCTTCTCTAATAACTTTAAGATTCTTTGTTGGTATTCTCGGCGCGTCATTTGTACCTTGTCAATTCTGGACAACTCAAATGTTCAGTCCAAATACTATAGGTGGTGCTAACGCATTATCCGCAGGCTGGGGTAATATGGGTGGTGGTGTTACTTATTTACTTATGCCTTTAGTATTTGAGGCATTTAATACCTTCTTTCCTGAACGTATCGCTTGGCGTCTATCTATGATTGTTCCGGCTTTTCTATGCTTAATAGTTGGTATATGTTGTTACTTTTTTAGTGATGATTGTCCGGAAGGTGATTGGTATTATCGTGATCAACCCAATGAAGGTTATGTTCAATTTGGAGAAAAGGATTCAAGACAACCTAAAACAAAAATTAATAATAATAATATAGAACTTCATCAAATTCCTGTCTTAATTCATTACCTTCTTGTTTTCATTAATCCTAATGTAATTTTAATGATGGTAATGTATGCATGTTGCTTTGGAGTGGAAGTAGCTGTTGATAATGTTATTGTAATCTTTCTTTATTCTTCATTTAATATTTCTCAAACTTCGGCTGGTTTATATGGTTCAATATTTGGACTTATGAACATTTTTTCTCGTGCTACTGGAGGTCTAGCTTCCGATTTTGCAAATAAAACAATGGGTGTTCGTGGTCGATTATTATCCCAATTTTTGTGCTTTTTCCTCCAAGGAGCATTTTTAATTCTTTTTAGATTTATGAGCGGAGATTTTGCATTGGCTATTGTCTTAATGGGGTGCTTTTCTTTATTCACACAGGTAAATATTATATATGTTATTTGATTGACTGAATAATTAATCATAAATTATTTATTAAATATATTATTAGGCATGTTGTGGTACTTCATTTGGTATAGTTCCTTATCTTGATCCAGCAGCTGTGGGTATAGTTACAGGATTAGTAGGAGCAGGAGGTAATATTGGAGGTTTAATATTCGCAGCAATTTTCAAAGCTTATGCTAGTGATCTACGGACAGGATTCATGATAGTAGGATTATCCGTAATAACTGTTTCATTGTTACCATTTTTAATGAGTATTCATGGGCGAACATTAATTTTTGGAACAGTTAAAAGAAATTTCTAATTAATGATCTGGAGTATAGAATTGAATGCATTGTTTCTATTTCTTTTTTTTTCTTTAAATTCTATATATATATGCATAATTATTCTTCCTTTGTTTTTTGTTAATACACGACGCTAGATTTCCTTTTAACTTGAAGTTTACACCACATTTCAATAGTATTAGTACATCCAGCAAAAAAGAATTCCATTCATTTATCATTGTTTAGCGTTGACATTTCATAAACATCACAATATGCATCGTGCGTAAATAAAAGTAATAATGACAAGTTTGCAACACTACTTCTTTATTACTATTTAATTTGGCCAACAATATTATTTATTAATAGATATAATTACCAAAATGTTATCATGTTTAAGCTGATTAATTTATGTTTTAAAACTCATTTTAATATAACATACATAGTACATAAACTGGATTTCAAGCTATACTTTAGGTTGTATAATAGTTGTGCTTGCTTGAGCAGGACTTTGGTAGTTTATAAACAGTTTGAGTTGGTTCAGATCAATCATTTCACCGAATGCTCATTTAGCCGACATCACATAGGGTTAGGGTTAAGAATTTGATTAGTTGCAGGTATATATTTTTACTAAATTTCACCTGGCGTGATGTCGGCTAAATGAGCTGTCGGTGAAATAATACGGACCCGTTTGAGTAAGGTATATGCAATTCATTCATTTCATAATAGCACGGGTGAAATGATAAAATAATACGAGTTCTTTCTAATTAAAGTTAGGTTCTATTGGCTATCCAATTTCATTAGAATGAATTTGACCAGTTAGATATTATAAATGAATATGAGGAGATAAGAAACTACACTTTTAATGAGATAATACGTTGCCTTGCCCCTCTATCAAGATACCTTATTAAATAAACAGGCATGCTAGGTGTATTAGGTGTAATAGGCGTATGATTGTGTCAATAAAGTATCATGTTGGTATACAATTTAACGGTATGATATTAATAATAACTATGATTTTTCATTAAACTTTGAGTAATCGAATTTCTTTGTAAATCTTCATCATTTAATTCTTTTAACTTTGGATATTGTCCAAATTTGAACCTGTTAAATCAAAATCTCTTATTCATACAGTATCTACCAATATTATCTGTATTAAACTTGTATATGCACACATACTGCTCTTCCAGCCAATGACGTAGAGATCTGATTTTTATCACAAGATTACGAGATGTCCTCAATAGGAAATTTTCAATCAGGATTTTAATCAAATATATTGAATATCGACTGCTAATGAATACATTTGAGATTAATGCTCTTGTCAAATGATGCTAACGTGTCTCATATGTTATGCACCTTATAAATAACAATAAACAAAGCAGAAGAAATTACCAGCCAATGAAATGAACATGCGTTGTTGAGTTTATAAACATGAGTTGAGTTTATAAACATGGGTTGAGTTTAGACGGATTTCATGTATAAAATAAATAATAAAACACCTACGAAATTGACGTAAATGTAATTATTTGAACAATTGATTTTTTGTAATAGTAATTATCACGGGTAAAAGAGGGAACCTTTCTACAAGTATTTTTTAAAAAAACTTTGACCAGCTGTTATTAAATTTTTCAAACATCTATATCATTTTCTTACTATTCACAGCAACTGAATGTGAATTTTAATAAGAAACTCAATTTGTTAAATTTTAAATAATTATTATTATTAAAATATTTATATACATATAAAACTTTAAAATGATTAAATTTTAATAATTTAAATTTTAAAGCTTAAGTAAATCTATTTAATATCCAATTAAATTTAATCAACCTTTTTATTTGAATTTATAGAATAATTTTGGTATACTTTAATTTTAATAATATTTTTTATTACTGTATACAATTATTGGAATATGGTTTTAAAATTTTGTTATATTTAAGTTTTTTGAATATATAATTATCTAATTAAATTTAATAATAGATTTTTATTAATCCTATTAATCATATAATTTTATAGCTAAAATTTTGAAACTAAATTTAACAGAGGTTATTCTATTTTACAAATAAATTAAAACTGTTTATAAGTTTTATAAAAAAATTAAACAATCAAACATTCTCAACTACTGAATTACGATCTTCTGGCCATTCCTTAAATAGGGTGATCAATAGAAATTTCCAAAATAGACAGGTTTTAATTAGGCTTAGTGATACGTGATAAGTTAGTTACATTTTAGGAAGCAGAATCGCGTGATATCTAACCAATCAAATTATAGAATTTTGATGAAATAAAAACGAAAATCCTAAAAAATACAAAAAACGGCAGTCTAAACCTACCTCGGGTGGGATAATTAAAAATGCCGGGAAGGCAATTTTGCTTATATACAGCTACCTAAAACCTAACCTAACCCTAATATAAGATGACCTAACCTTAAAGTTAATTCAATAAAATATATAGTATAATAATCTGCTCCGTTTTAGATGTCCCCTATTTTAAATAGTAATCTGCATCAATAATGCAATCATTTCCGTGCGGGTTTCACTGTCGTGTGATAATTTATCTTATGTTGAATAATGTTTTAAACCGAAAAGGCCATTCGAATCTGATTAGTTTAACCGACTCAACTGCGATTATTGTTATTGGCCAAATTTAATTATTGTCTTTTTTATGATTTTATTAGATCGTTTAAAAAATATGTATTATGAAATTAACTAATTATTAACAACAAAGTAATAAACCAGTAACAATTCATTTACATTAATGACTTGAAAAATTCAGGTGACCTTTTTATAACAAAACACCGGATCATTTTATGAGAAATAAAAATTGACTTTACATGACTTTAAGTAAGGCTTACACAAATTTCTTACAATTAATAATCATAAAGAACTTGAAGTTATGAACGTAACGTTGAAAGGAACCATTACAAAGTACATGTTACATTAGAGCTTCAAGTATTGAATCTTGTCAAAGTTATTAAAACTCAAAACATTGTCAGAACTTTTGCTTCACGTTTTACCAACAATTTTGTCTAAATTACTTGTAATGATAACAAATTAGAATTAAAAATTAACATTGATAACGAAATACGGTGTGGATGGTATGTAACTTTAATACTATACACTTTTTAAACTATACACTCGTTAGTATATTTGCCTATGTTAACATTCATAGTATTTTATTAAAAGGTTTTTCCATTATATAATGATAATGCTTAATATGAATGTATTTCCCGTTAATTCAATTATTTTTCCTATCATAGTGTTACGAATGTACAGTAAAAGAAAATACTTCGACTCTAAATGTCACAAAGTAAGATCACGCAATATAAACAATGATAGGGGTTAACCCTGACCTCGGTAAATATTAATATAACAATACCATTGATCTGCAAAAGCAACACGAAACAATGTCAATTTTGACACTGGAACTGAGAGAATGTCGATATGTGATATGTACGGGGTGCATTCATAGTTTGGTATCACATTAGCAATTATTACAATTATTACAATTTAATTATCATTAGTTAACGTCGGTTTCATAGTTAAAATTATTTGAATTCTCAATCGAACAAACAAAATGGTGTTAGTTACCGTTTTGTATAATAAACAAATGCAGATAAGATAAACAAATTTAGATAAGCCCTCAGCCAATGAACTTTATTTATTGTTATTACTAAAAATAACAAATCTGTATAATTAGTAATAGTTTGTTTTTTTTTTTAGCGGTATCAATAAGCATGTGACTATAATAATAACCAATAATAATTTATTTGTTATTCACTGTTACACAAAGAACATATTTGAAAAATACGATAAGGTGAATTATTCCGGTTTGACACCTGATTTATCTGTATATTACCGGGTATCGGTACAATTATACCAATTTCTTGAACTTTCAAGGTTTAAAAATTGAGACGAACATATAGACCCATCTTTAAACAACTATATACAGATACAGTATACAATAAAAAAATAGCGGGAAAACAATTAGCCTCTTAGTTTAATCTTAAACCTAATCTTGCCTAATACAGTCAGGAGTATTCCGCGATATGGAAATGATCTGCAAATATATTAGAAGGGTATTCTAAAATCGATTTCAATTTAA